CACTCAGCCAGGCGATGCCCTCGTTTTCGGCCCAGCCCCAATCTTTGTCTACACTCAAGAGAGAACAACACCATGCCCACCACCTTTGGCCGAATTGTTGGACTTGGATCCAAACTCCCCATGCAGTACTTATCAGTCCCCCACAGAGTCCTGCAGGACTACACCATAATTTTGGCAAATTTGAGTTGTATGAGAAAAATTCTGTGATTCCTGAGGACTACATGAGATTTAACCATCTGTGACACCTCCTCTAACTTCCTTAATGAACTTAACTCTATTTCCATCCTTAAAGCATTCAGATATCGATACATAGTAGAATTTAATTCTATTTTAAATGACATCAAAATTACTTTACAAGTATATTAAAGGGAGGGGGGAAGGAGGGACAGACAGGAAGGGGGGTACAGACAGGGGTAGGAAGGAGGACAGGAAAGGGAGAACAGACAGGAAGGGAGATAGAGAGGAAGGGAGATAGAGAGGAAGGGAGATAGAGAGGAAAGGGGGACAGACAGAAATGGGGACAGACAGGGAGGGAGGACAGACAGGGAAGGAGGACAGACAGGGAGGGAGGACAGACAGGGAGGGTGGACAGACAGGAAGGAAGGACAGATAGGGAGGGGACAGACAGGAAGGAAGGATAGAAAGGGAGGGGGGACATACTGGGGGTGGGCACTCATTGCCGCTCATCAGTGGCAGCCTTGTTCGCCATTCATTGGCAGTAGTGGGGGGGTCGTGTCTGTCTGTGGGTGCTCATTGTCCGCGGGCGCTCGTCGTTTGTGCGTGGGGGGTCATTGTCGTCTGTGTGTGGGCATCGTCGTACATGGGGGGCTTGTTGTCATCCATGTGCACTTGTGGGTGGTCGTTGTCCATGGGCGCTCATCGTTCATGGGTACGGGGTTGTCGTTGTCCATGGGTGGGGTTGTCGTCATTGTCTGTGGGCACTCGTTGTCTGTGGGCGCTCGTTGTCTGTGGGCACTCGTTGTTCGTGGGTGGTGGTGTGGTTGTGGTCACTCGTCGTGGGGTCCCATTCATTGTCAAAAAAGTTGCCGTCGACATGGCATACCCAGATGGGCATGCCACATCAGCAGTTTGGTGGTGGCGCTGTTTGTTGGGTGCCACCACCATTTCCGTTCTTCACTGTTGCAGTCAGTGTTGGTGGGTGGGCTGTTGTGGTGGTGTATGGTGGTGGTGGGGTTGTCGTCCCTCATCATGGGGTCATGGGCATTCGTTGTCGAGAAAATCACCGTTGACATGGCACACCCAATGGGGTGTGCCACATCAGCCATTTGGTGGTGGCGCCATTTGTTGGGCACCACCACCGTTATCGTCATCGTTGTCTGTTGTGGCCATTGTCATTGTCGTCGTGGGCGAATGGTGGTGGGTGGTGATGAAAGAGAGAGGTGATGTGACATGTCACATATGAGAACCATCATCAACAAACATGTGCACAGGATGCATCACATCATGTGATGCATTCCAAGCACATGTTTGTGGGTCATGTGACTCATCACATGCATCAATCCTGGGACTAGTCCTGTCTGAAAATCCTCAGGACTGTCTTCAGTCCTCAGGAATGGACCCCCCACAGGACTGAAAAAATTGGCTGGTACATCAGCCAATACTCAGTCCTGGGACTGTGCAAGAATCCTCAGGAATCTGTGGGGGACAATAAAGACCTTGAAAGTGCATGATAATAATTATGAAAGCTGCTAAGAAATGTTATGAAATGGTCCTGTGGTCTTTGCCTACATTTTATAAAAAGAACATAGCCTTTATGAGAAAGAAAGACCCAGGACACACCTATGAAAGGCCTTTCGTAAAACTTGTGGACTTATACACACAGCTCTACAGGCAAGTACCTTAGTTTTATGATAAAGGTGGTAGCCACTTGTGAGGAGGTGGACTTTGATCTGAATACTGGATCTGATGAAGTCCTGCTTGTGGCAGGCCATGCATTTATTGAAACAGGCACTGAGTTTGGTGGATACGGGTCCATGCTTGTGGATAAGCTGAAGGCTCATCACATACTCAAAGTTGGGATCCACAATACCAACCCTTGCACCTACCAGGAGGCGGTTAGCAGAGACGATTCCAGTGCATGGCACCAAGCTATGGCTGATGAAATGAATTCCCATGGAATCAATGGTACATGGCATGCTGTTTACCTCCCACCAGGTGCCAAAGCAATAGGATCTCATTGGGTATTCAGGGTTAAGAAACTAGCTGACGGATCCATAGACCACTTCAAAGTTTGCCTTGTCATGCAGAGGTATTCCCAATGTCCAGGTATTAAATATGACAAGACCTTTGCACCAACCGCATGCTGGAACACTATCCATACAATCTTTGCCATTTCCACCCTTGAAGACATGCACCTTGAGTCTGTTGACATTGTCTCTGCTTTCCTCAATTCACAAATCGAAAAGGACCTCAACCTATACCTTGAATTGCCACCTGGTTCAACAGCCACTGCACTTCCAGGCCTTGAGAAGCAACCAGGCAATGGACACCTTGTCAGGAAGCTCATGAAAGGTCTCTATGGCCTCAAGCAAGGTGCTTACCTTTGGCACAAGCACATGAATGAGGTATTCCCTTCCTTGGGTTTGACTTGCATTCTCTCTGACCCCTGCATCTATGTTTACATCCATGGAAATGTCTGTGTCATTATCCCTGTTCACATTGATGACATGACTATTGCATCTACAGACCACCCAGCTATCCTTCGCATCATCAAACAGCTACATGGCCACTTCAGACTTTGTCACCTAGATCTAGTGTTCGAAAGTCCAGTTAGGTTAGGTTATTGGGTGCCCAGGGGCTCTAACCGAGACTGAGACTGGTTAGCCTTCATTCCCAAACCCACAATAACCTAACTGGACTGAAAATAACTGACCAAAACCAGTTAGTTGCAGTTACTAACCAGTTAGGACTGAAAAAATAAAGAATTGTTTGAATTTGGGCAAAACCATCCATATATGTCTCTTTTCACATTCTTAGATGTGTTTTGAAAGGTCCAGTTACAACCTGTTATAACCGGTTTTTTAACGGTTAGTTAACTGCAAAATAACTGGTTATCTTATTTTTGAAATGGACTAACCCTAACTGTAGTTAGGTTAATTTTGTGGTTAGGTCCAGTCCAGTCTCGGTTATTTTCCAGTTAACTAACCTAACTTCCAAACACTACCTAGGTCCTACTAATGGTTTGCTCAGGTTTGCGTCAACTGTGACTGTCTGTGTTGCATGCTGTGGATTGACCAGCATGCATATGCAGTGGACATACTCACCCACTTCAATATGATTGACTGCAAGCCTGTTACAAGCCCCCTTGACCCCAGACTCACTCAATCCCAATCACCCCAGACACCTGAGGAAGTTGCAGAAATGAAGAAGTACCCATATATTCAAGCCACGGGTGCCCTACATTATCTCACACTGTGTACCTGCCCTGATATTGTGTTTTCAGTGGAAGTCCTTTGCAGATTCAACACCAACCCAGGGCTCGATCACTGGAAAGCAGTCAAGCACCTCCTTCACTACGTGTGCAGCACTTTGGATTACCAAATTGAATATTCTGCTGCAGCCACTTTACCAACATCCCAGCTTTTCTGCACCTATTCTGATGCTGATCATGGTGGAAATATTGATACAGGAAAGTCCACTACAGGTACACTACTCATTATACCAGGGGGCACTGTCACGTGGACCAGCAAACAGCAGAGTGTAGTATCTACCTCCACCATTGAATTGGAGTTCATTGCCACTAGCGAGATAGGTCAAGAACTCTGCTGGATGTGTACCCTACTTGATGAAATCAGCAATACACAACTTCATGGCCCATCTGAGCTGAATATGGATAATCAAAGTGCTATTCAGGTCAGCAAGCACCCTGAAAACCTGGGACACCCCAAACACCTTGACTGACATTGGTTCTGGCTATGCCAGGCTGTCTTCAACCTCAAAGTCAAACCCCGATACATTGAGACAAAGGACATGGTTGTGGATCTGCTCACAAAGTTGCTCACTGGGACCTTATGGACAAGTTCAGAAAGATGATGGGATTAGTGGGGAACTGGTCAAGGAAGACCTCTGGTGATGTTCTCATGCACTCCATCAGGTGGGAGTGGTGAATATTCTGTGTGTGCACTCAAGACCACTTAGGGTTAGGGCTTATCCCACCCTTACAATTCCTGCCCCCATAGTTTAGTATTTAGTTTACAACTACTCTCTCAACTATGGACACAGTCCAAGTTGTTCATTGAAACTCAGGTTACTTTTAGTCTCCAATCCGAGACCTTCAGTTTCGTGTCACCACTGCTGCTGTAACCTGTTCAACAGGAGGGGGGTTTTGGTGGATATAGGCAGGAATATAGTGAATGCTGGTGCCTGAGATGTCATTTGGTTGTCGAATAGGGGTCCTAGATGCTCTTCTGCTTCTGTTCTTGTGGATGAATGTGGGTGTACGTGGTGGTGAAGGTGGTGGAGGGGTGCTGTAAGTCATCAGGAATTTGTGGCTGCCATTGGAGATAGGTACAGAGGGTGTAGAGAGAGTCTCCAAGAGTTCAGATGGGATACAGTGAATCCTAGGTGGAGGAACATTGCTGATCGGCTGGGTGTTAGGCCTTTGACTGATCTTCCTGCAAAGTAGCTACCAACATTCAAGGTGGACAGCCTGCTAGAGGCTCCAGGGGTTGGTCCAGGTGTGTATTTTGGAGTGCTGGAGCCAGTGTAATGTGTGCAGGAGGAGGAGGCAGAGTTGGTTGTGAATACAGGAAAAGGGGATGCAGGTTCAATGTTCAGGAAGGATGCTGAGGTGCCCTACTGTGGGGTCTGAAACATCCATGGCATCCAGGGCTTGGGCTTGATGTGCCATGAGGTCAAGGACACAGTTCCATCATGAGGAGAATGTGTTGGTAGGGTAAAGTAAGGGAGATGTCTCTGTGGATGGGTGAGGTGGGATGTAGGGTTTTCCAAAGATGTTGATGGTGACTGCGCATTGGAGGTCAGATTGAGGAGGCCCACCCACACCTGCTGCTCTTGCAATTGAAAACAGGTCCATCTCCTCTGGAGATTGTAAGAACGGCATAGAGCAAATTATACTGTGCCAGAGGTCCGATCCTCAAAGGGAATGTTTTCTCCACCACATCTGAACTAAACCCATTATGTCCCCAGCCGATAAGCATTGCCCTCGCACCTTCCCCACCAATCTTCACATCCACCTTCCCAACCACAAACCCAGTGCCAATACCTGACTGGCCAGAGTTCTCAATCTCCACACAAAGGACCACCGTCTGCTCAACACTCCCTGCTTCTCTCTGCTCACATTCTTTTTCTGCATCATTGAGTTCTGCAAGGGTTCCTTCCGTTTCTGGAAGGAGAATGTAGGGGACAAAGACGGTGTGCATGCCGACTAGTGCTTGAAAGTCCAGTCCAGTCCAGTTTTTTGGCCCAAAATGAAAAGACCGAGACCAAGACTGGTCCACACAATTCCTAAAACCTCAAAAGACCAGACCAGGACCGGAAAAGACCAAGACTGTAGTCTTTTTCAGTCTTTGGACCAGTCTTGGTCCAAACTGGTTACAACTGGTTCAAGACCAATTTTTCAACTAAATATGCAATAATATTTCCAATTGTGAGTTGGTAGGTTTATTGAGATTCTTCGTAGCCTCTAAATGAGTGCAAGAACATTATGTTCCATTGAGAATTGATGTATCTACAAAAATACTAAGGTACATCTACTATTTTCATGAAATATTTTACTATTTTGTATGTATCTTTGTCAGTTTTTGGCCTAAAAATATGATTTTAGGTGCATTTTGAAAGGTTATTATATAGGTACAAAAGACTGGTCCACATTAACCAGTCTTTTTGCAGTCTTGTGATCTCAAATCTGAAAGACCAAGACTGCAGGTCCGGTCTTTTGCAGTCTTGGTCCAGTCCAGTTGCAGTCTTTTTGCAGTCTTGGGACTGGACTTCCAAGCACTAATGCTGACTCGGAATCAGGAGACTGTTGGGAGTGTATGGCAGTAGGATTTTCAGAGTGTTGGGAGGGATTTGCAGATGGCTGACATTCAATAAGGGGAGATGCACAATGAAGATACAGAAGGAGAAACTGCAGGCTGGGCTGACGGCAAGACAAAATGTCCAATGCAATTGAAAATTTGTCTATGCTGAGGTGTGGGGCTGATAACCTGTTGACAAGTGGAGGGCAAGAGGGAAACAAGACATGCAGGCAGAATAAGTAACTAAGATGATGAAGTAGCTATGTAAATACAACTGTCCGGAAACTACTGAAGTCTTCTAAGCTCTTCTAAGTCCAACAGTACTGAATACCCACCAAATTGATCTGAGTTCTGTTGCATATAGGATATAATCTGCATATTTGGATATAAAGGCTGATACAAACAAGATACAAAAGCAGGATATGTTTAGGTGGGTGTGTAACAGCCAGCCCAATCACGGCCAATCTTGCAACCTTGAAAGTTGATGATGGCAGACGGTTCACGGGAAATCACAAGAAGGGTGTATGGATAAGCCAGCTCTGGCACCCACATCAGCCAACATTTGCTACCTCTACCTCTACCTCTGCCAAGTACAGAACAAATCCAGTGTTTGTGATCTGTGGTCCAAGCAGGGTAAGCAGAATCTACAATGGACAATCGTGCAATTTCATCATCTGAGGTGATACCAGCAGGAGAGGTGCTGGAATTGAGTGAATATGTGGGAATATTTGGCACCCTGGCCTGAGCCACAGTCAATGCATCCCACACCCGCACAGATTTGTCGACTGAGCCAGAGACAATGCGAGTGCCATCAGTGGAGAAGGCAACAGACCGGACAGGTCCCATGTGGCCATTGAGCACCTTCAGCTCGGCCCCAGTTGACACATCCCACACCCGCACAGATTTGTCAACTGAGCCAGAGACAATGCGGGTGCCATCAGTGGAGAAGGCAACAGACCGGATGGGAGCCCTGTGGCCCTTAAGTACCTTCAGCTCAGCCCCAGTTGATGCATCCCACACCCCTACACATTTATCATGTGAGCCAGAGACAATGTGGGTGCCATCAGTGGAGAAGGCGACAGACCAGACATAACTTATGTGGCCATTGAGCACCTTCAGCTCAGCCCCAGTTGATGCATCCCACACCCGCACAGATTTGTCACATGAGCCAGAGACGATGCGGGTGCCATCAGTGGAGAAGGCAACAGAACAGACATTACCCATGTGGCCATTGAGCACCTTCAGCTCAGCCCCAGTTGATGCATCCCACACCCGCACAGATTCATCGTCTGAGCCAGAGACAATGCGGGTGCCATCAGTAGAGAAGGCAACAGACAAGACACCACCCATGTGGCCATTGAGCACCTTCAGCTCAGCCCCAGTTGACGCATCCCACACCTGCACAGATGTGTCAAGTGAGCCAGAGACAATGCGGGTGCCATCAGTGGAGAAGGCAACAGATAAAATGGCTTTATCTGTTTTTATTACCATCAGTGGCACATCACTAGCCTTCCTATGAATGAAGGATGGGATGCCACAGAATGATTCTCTCCACCCTTGAGACATAGTGGATCCTGCCGACCAGGATGCCAATGCTGAGATATACAAGTGCGGTGTAGACAAAGCTGGTGGATTTGCAGAGAAGTATGTGGCGAAATTGCGTGCTTCAGCAATGTTGGCAGCAAGCCCAGCTTCCCTTTTCAGGTTCTGACTACCAGCTTTAGAAACAGTGTATATCAAGTGACAATATTCTCACCTTCAGAACCCACTCATGCGTGTGCTGAAGCATTATGCTACACTGACCACTGGATCCAAGTAGATTCATAGCCTCAATCCAAAAGAGAATGCGAATACAGAGGAAATCTGTGATATAGTCACCAAGATCAGGCTCCCCATTCTTTTGATCGATTTGGGCCAGATGCTGAGCCCAGTGCCAACAGGCATACCTTAGGACTGGTTTGATATTGGTGTCAACCTGCTGTGCCAGCTCTGGGTCCTCGGCATCGAGTAAAAACGAGGATGTTATGTTGCCGATATTGAAACGTAGCGACTCCTTCATACGGTCAAAGCAACATTTCGTCAGAAAAGTGTGGTGTTGGGCCTGATCACATGTTGTGGACATCTGACAGCCACTAAGCTTGAATGTTGAACGAGTGTGACTGAAGATGAAGTCAGGAAATGATGCATGGTACCAAAGGACCTGGTCATCTTTGCAGTAGAGAACTGCATGAAGTCTCTTCAAGACGGTGATCACAGTGTCAGCAGATTCAGAGAGGAGAGCAGCAGTAAGAGATGCTGGCGTGCGTTCGAATGTACAGAGGAAGGTATGGAGAATGCGCAAACGAGAGTTGAAGAGGTTTTGGGGAAGGTTAGAAAAGGTGTCAAGCATGATTTGTTGGTAGAGGTTGTCAATGAGCAAGGGCTGCTGTGCATCGGATGGTGAAAATGTTTGTTCATCATGCAGGCTGCTCAATAGTTTGCTTTGCTCAGATTCTGATAATTCGCATGGTGTCAGATACCTCACGATGGTTGCAGCGGCAATAAAAAGACCACCCGCCAGCTGTTCCATGGTCTTGAGCTCAGGCTTGTCTACAAAGTTTGGAAACTTGCTCTCTAAGTACCGGGTGATATCTAGTCCCACACGCTCAATCGGCACGTCTTGTAGGCGGCAGACCGCCTTGGACGAGAAGGTCTTGCACAGGTCCTCGACGCGACGATCTGGCCGGCTCGTGATAAGAAACTTGAGGCCTCGCAGGCGACGCTGGTTGATTGTCTCGAGTAAGCTTTGCAGAAACAGAGACCCTCCATCGGCCTCGATCTCATCCAATGCGTCAATGACCATGAGGTAAGGTGGGAGCTCCACATGACGTCCGGACTCGGACTGCTGCCATGGGCCCACAAGGAGGTCCTTCATTTGCTTGTTCGGCTTGTTGACTGAGTCAAACCTATCTGCTTCATGCAAGGCGTCGGCATACGATCTCGACTTCCGAGCAAGCTGGTATACAAGGGTAGGAATGATGTGGATCTGTCGTCTTGTCTCCTCAAATTGGCGGGAGCAGAGAAAGTTTCCGCCCAAGACGGTGTGCCGTCCAGTATCCTCAAGCTCATCGAAGTGTTCGGCAATGGTGTATGCGATCGTCGTCTTTCCAGCGCCAGCTTGGCCGGTCAGCCAGAAGACAGGCGGGCTGTCCGCCGAGATATCGTCAGCCCATGAAATTATCTCCGTCAGAATCTGCTCGCGAGTGCCTGCGGTGCATGGTTCACGGGTCACCGTCGCCCCGGCCCCCAAGTCAGCATCGTAGATCGCCTTACGAGCGAGAAGAGGGTCAAGTTTTGTGAGCTGTAGGATGATTTAGTGCTCGTCCCAGATGAAGAATTTGATGTTTACCCTGAATTCGGC